GTTCTTCCGTGCTCAGCCTTATTTTTATCTTCTTATTTATTTATTTATTAGTGGCGTCTGGATTCAGTCACGGCAGACGGATGGCAATCTGAAATGGAATGAAGCCCACAGACGGCCGACAGCAGCTACAGTAGTGGAACGCGCCCGATCCGCCCACAGCACAATGCTCTTAAAGCGCTATCAAAAGCTGGCAGAATACATTTATTTTATTTTATGGCCTTGACATTAACCTGTCATATTGTTGAGTTATCAAGGACACTTCCGCGTTTTTGTGTGTATACAGGAATGTTAAAGATATCATTGAGGAAAACGAGGTTGACGTGACGTGATTGAATCAGGGAATCCGTGTGTCCACCACAGGAGAGGATCCTAATTGACTTTACATTGGCATTGTTTTCGTGGTGGCAGCACGTAATTTCAACCCATTACGTGCTGCCACCACGGAATGCAGTGTTAAGAGGTCGTGGTCATTTCACGTATTTCTGTGAGATCAGATTGGCATAATTCATACTAGTACTGTGTATTTTTCCAATACTGCAGCAGTCTGCTCTGCACACGTCATTTTTTTTTTTTTTTAAAAGTCCGTTGTGTTGGCAATAACATAACGTTAAACTCTGAACAGGTAGGTGTTTAAAGAGTTCATGTATGATGTACTTCAGATTAATTCCCTTTTAAATTAAGCGATAGACTGCAAAATACACCAACAAAGCCAGCTACCTCGCTAGCCTGCTAGCTTCTTAACATGCAAGTCAATGGAGCCACGTTAGCTACCGTTAGCATGACCTCGGCTCAATTAGAGATCGGTACACCCACGTTTTAAGTAGGTGACAATTCAAATAGCTGGCTCACATCAGATGGTGGGTGGCTTTCATATGGTCTTAAAAACGCTACACATTAGGTAATGGTAAATTTACATTTTGTTGTGAAAGCTGTGCTACCAACTGCTCCTTTCGTGAAGTAGTCCGCCATAGAGACAGAGCGCAATGCGTCGATAATCTGTAAGCCACGCCGCCAAAGGGGAAATGTTTCAGATCCGGGGACGGAGTCATGAGATTTGGAAATCTGTATCCAGTCAGATTGGGATCAAAGTGATCCACCCTGCCAATGTTTTGAAATACCCAGATAAAGTCAGCAGGATCACCTCGATCCCTAATTGAGAAATGGAGGATTTCATTATCAGGATTATTCTGATCCAGATTACAAGTTTTGAAATATTGGGCCCGGGTGTCTAATAGAGACAGGCCTTTGTTTGTCAAAATGTGTAGACACACCAGGCTAGTAAAAGGGCCTGGGTGTTCAATTGGGACTAGGCTTTTAAGAATCAGAATCAGAATCAGAGATACTTTATTGATCCCCGGGGGGAAATTGTTGGCATTACAGGTGCTCCTTACAAGAGTAGGAAGATAGAAAGAACTGAATTGAAGTTTTACAGTGTGAACAAATAAATGTGGACCAATGAAAGTTTTAGCAGCAGTACCTAGTTAATTAGGCTACATGCGATTTAATATTGTGCAATTATACATGTACACAGCAGCCAAGTCTTCCATTAATTAGTAGCCGCGCCTATGTATTAGTCCCTCACATAGGAAAAAAAAAAATTCTTGATGTATAAGTCAGTGTGAATGATTTTGTAATCCGTGTCATGGACTTCATTTTTTCCACATAGCTGTGAATGTGTACGCTACCATGGACAAGTGTAGCTAGGGTTATGATAACGTAGCTGCCCAGGGATTTAAACATTCATTTATCTAAATTTGACAAAATAACCTATGACAATGCATCAACTAATGCCTGATTCACATTACACAACATTTTTGTCTGTTCCAACAGTCACTATGTCAGAATATCGTACCATGACTTGGTCGACAGACATGATAAACAGAGAAAATGTACCGCACACCAAGTCTCAGCTCCCATTGAAGGCTTTTTTATTTGTGCTGTGACGTTTTGAGCACAAGGCTCTTTCTCAAACTCCTGTTACATGGATAGACAGAGAGTTGGCAGCTTAAGAAGATACCCGCCCATACACGACATGTGATTTAACACACCTGGGCCTCTAGTTTCGCAGACCGGGCGAGGCAGAGGCGCAGGGCACCTGCGCTTCGCCAACTGGGTGTGACCAGGGGGATTTTGCAAGATTGGCACACCGTGCGTGCTGGCGCAGCTACTCCTCTTTCGCACCTCCGTTCCTCCTACCTGCGCAAGTTGGAAAGAGGGAGGAGAGAAGGCGTGGAGTGGATTTTACACAGCCAATTCACATCACACCAATCAAATGAGCCCCTCTCCTCGCCCTTAAATGCGCCACGCAAAGGCGTAATGAGAGTTTACTCAATTCGCCATGGCAGAAGAGAGCAGCAGCGTCAGACGGCCAAACTTCTCCCAGGAGGAAACTGATGTTTTGGTCCGGGAGGTCCAAGCTCGCAGTGTCCGAATATACGGAACTGCGAGCAGACCTCCACGGGCTGATGATGCAAAGGTAGCCTGGGAGGAGGTTACCACATTTGTAAATCAATGTTGCTTTTCTCTCGTGCGCGCACGCTCTCTCTTTCTCTCTCGCAGTCTCACTCTGTTTCTTTTCTTTTGACTTTTCTGAGATGACAGATGCTGAATATATACTCCCTATCTGATGCTGTGGCTGTTTGTGGTTGGTTGAGAGGGATGTGAACTCATTAGTTTGCAGCTGTGTTAATCAAATCAGGTTGGGTTTACATTACACGTGTCAAACGTGCCAAACGATGCCAATCCCCTTTGATCTGACATCAGATGTGACGGGACAGTCGATATAGAGATACATTTATGTGCTTATTGCAGATAGTTGCATTGAATAGTGTTTTTTGTGGGTATTTATTGCATCGTTAATGTGCCTGACATTCTGGAGACCTGCCTGTGAGGTTTTGGTGACATGTGCGCACTGTCAACCCGTCAGCCAAACTTCCACTTACACCGGCTGTGCTCCGCCTGCGTTGACAGTAGATCTGGTTTCAGCTGGTGAGCTTTTAGCGCACCTTCGGCGAAGCCTTTTGGAACGAAACTATCACTGCGCCAAGCTGGATCTGTTGACACCTCCCCCTGCTGTGCCACCACACCCATCTCAGCACACCTCGGTCTGCCAAACTACCAAACTGAGCGCGCCTCGGGTTGTGCTGCTCGAAACTAGCTCTGCGTGGGGTTCGCCACCCTGTGCCGCACCGGGAAACTAGAGGCCCTGCTGTCAATTGGTATCAATCAGTTTGGAAAAATATATAGAAAAATATTATACAAATACATCTGAAAAATATTGCAAGGTACATTGTGAAATATATAGAAGGTACTTAAATATCAAAGTAAGTAATATAAATCCACATGCAGACAATATGTGGACACAATTAAAATTACATAGCATATTTTACAAATTTACAACATCTGGACCTCCTATAGTAGAGTAAGGCGGGATCAAGCTACAGAGCTATCATAAACTATGAACTATAATTTTATGATGATTATATGATTTTGTGCGTACCTACCCAGGGACTACAGATGGAAAGTAGCTGAGAGCTAAATCTGGTACAAAGCATCTTTTCTCATCTGAGATTAATGTTTTTTTTGTGCACTGTCCCTGTCCAATAAAGTGTTAATAATAATAAGAGGCGCCTCTGTATTAAAACGGGATCTATAGTAGGTATTTTTAAAGACAGATAAACTGCATAGCATAGCATATTGTTATTACTATTATTTCAGTCACTGTGTCTGTTCATGTGCCAGCCAAAATGTTGTTGTAGTAACTCAAAAGATGCCACCAGATAGCAGGAGCTACATTTGAAGTACTGCATGCAAACATGCAAGTCACTGAATCCTCCACAAGAAGTTCCTGCAAATGTTTCATAATAAAAGCCTTTTTAGAAAATGAAGATATTCTCTCAACTTAAGTAAGAAGTGGCTTTTAATTTTATACATCTGTATAAAATTAAAAGCCCCTTATTACTTCGGTGGGTCGCTAAAGTGCCTCTACGGTTTCACGCCATAATTTTTCCTTTTTACTGTGTGTGATAACATCCCTACAGGAAATATCAAAAAGGCTGGGGTGTTGTTGTCACACAGTTGTCTATGGCAGCAGATTGCACTGTGTTCCTATTGGTCAAAGTGACTGGAGAAGTTGTGAATGAAAAAAGAAAATCAAATATGCTAGACATGGCGTCAGTTGTTGTCTGCTATGACACACTACAAGAGATAAGGCTGTGGATTATCGCGTATGATCCGACTAATTTTGTAGGAAACAAAGTATTAATGTTTTACTTTTCTGTAATCTAAAAACCAGTGTCCTTATGGGAATAGTCACACTGTCATCTCTTACATATCTCTGTTTTATGCACAGACTGGACTCATCCAGATTGCGGAAGACAGCCTATTCATTCAGCCGATTGACGAAAATGTCCCCTCACAGTCCTTCTCAGGACTTAAACACCGGCTGCTGCGACACCGACGCCATGCAAAGACCAGCTCTACTCAAGATGCTGACCAGCCTCACTACTGTGGGACTGTACGAGGTGAGTGACACAGAGACCCAGACAGGATGGAACAGGATGGTCACAGTGTCTGACAAGTTTGCTGGTACCATTGCAAAACGGACACCAACCACCCACATTACGATAGATGTGATGAACAGTGCTATTTTTAGGTATAAATGGGGTGTGTAAAAAAATGCGCTCCTGTTATTATTATCAGTGTACAATCCCACACCAGTGACTGCTAGACCTGCAGTAGCTAGACGTGTATTGGTGCTCCTGGTTGCACTGCCCTGCAGCACTTGCCGCCACTGTCCTATTTTCACCCTCCCTAAATCAAATGCATTTTTCCCCACTCGCTCTCTGCTTGTACATACCAGCTCCTGTAGTTGCTCTTTTTCTCTGCTCCTATGGCAGCTTGACTCCTCACCATGGATGTATAAAGATCTGTATCTGTTAGTGTGTCTCATGTGTGATGAAGACTGGATGAGGAGAGACTTGTTGTTGAGGACGGGAAATAGCTCAAGATTAATGAATCACAATCCATCATAATAAAGACGATGGCCAAAAAGATATTGCCTGTTGAGTCAAAGCTCCAGAGATTGGCTTTTCAGGTGAGGAATCAACTTTAATCAGTGGCAGTCCACACATGATTTTAAGCTAATGCAGAGGTGGAAGAGGTACAGATCTCTCAGTAATAATACATTATGTGGTCGTCCATTGACGAGCTGCAGCGCCGCACGTCCGGTGTGCTGAGAGCGGCGCTTGGCGCACTTCAGCTGGTGCAACGCGGTGGCACTGATGTGTTTTCATCTTAACTCCTCTTGATGTAGCTGTGTTTTATTTAGCTAGTTAGCTAACATTTTGCTTACATTAGCTAACTTAAATGTGACTATTTGTGTCAGTGAAGACTGTGACAGTCCCTCAACAACAGCTTTTAACCATCTTCAAAATTTGGTATTCTTTTTTTTTTTCTTTTCGTTTTCCAAACTTGGTCAACTCTTTTTGGGTGCTAAAAAGAGGTATGATGGGTCAAGAAACAAGCAGTCAGATGATCAGACAGGTCGGAAACCTCCAGGTTGGATGGACTTATCTGAAAAAGAAAAGGAATGTGAATGGTAGAAGTGTGACCTTAACTGTGTGTTGTGAACATCCATCACTGTTTACAGGCCCACTTTCTGCTAGTTCAACTTTCTCCAAATGTACCAGAGTTTTTGGCAAGTATTATTTTCGTAACCCTTGTGGTTTTGTTGCCAAGATAATAGTGTTTTTGTTGAATTTACATTGAGGACTTGTTTTTTAACCCTATGGGCCCAAACGACGCATAGTGCGTCCAAATTCACACCCGTTCTTCTCTGTGGATTTTCTCCGCGACCGTGTGTCTTAGCGAGAATGATAAATGATAAAGTTACACTAAAATGATGTATAACAGAGCTATCATACAGCTTTGCACACACATTACTGTTGGATGGATTACTTGTGAATGCAGGCTCGCACAGACATGCCACGCATATCACATGAAAGCGCAGGAGCAGAGCTTTCCAGGGATACCACACACATCATTGTACTGTCATCCCATCACGCTGTAAATACAGATTGATCATCTACAAAATAAAAACCTGACGAATTTCTTTACAATCCATTATACAGATCTTGTTATCAGTCACTTCATATAGTGAGGAATATCGTATCTCACCACGTCTTAGGCTTGCGTGTGTTTCTCCCTGTCTATCCACATTTGTAGTCCAGCTTTCAAGATGCAAATATCTCCATATTGTCCAGTTGACACTCCATCAAACTTTGTATGGCAAGACCAGCCACTTCACCTTTGCGCACCCAGACAACTGCAGCCTAATTATGCATGCCTGACAGGGCCTAGTCACCATATACATTGAGGGGGACACGTGCCCCCCCACCAATGCCCAAAATGTTCCCCCAGTATATAACTGAAACTGAAAAACAAATATTATCTTGGAGGACATCATTGCACTTGGTTGACTATTTTTCTATGATCTTAGATGTAAATATTGCATGTTTCTTTCAGATAAAACACATTTTTGACTTGTGAATGAGTCAATGGAATTTCTTGCAATAATGAAAAAATACTGGCAATCATGTCTGCCTGGCACAAACCACATGTTTTGGACAACTGTGAAGTGACAGAATGTCCCACCATCATGGTTCTTATATTGCCAGATTCCAGAGAGTCTCCCCTCTTCATATATGGCAGAATATGTCTTCTTCCAACTTGCTATGGTGAGATACATGTAAAAATGTAAGAATTTAGTCACACAGATTTGTTTTTTTCATTGATATAAAAATTAATATAACATACAGGCACATAGAAGGACATGGAATGATGGCAAATCTGGTTAGCCCAGATTGTCCTAAAAAAAAAACAAGATATAGCATGTGTATGTAGCCTTTATAATGACTGTGATATGAGCTTAAAAGTAAAGGCAGTAAAAATACCCCCAAAAATGCCTAGGGCCCAAAGGGTTAAAGCAGAGCAAAGCTAATCTCCCTTTTTTCTGAACTGACTGTTTTTATAATGTGGGACACACTTGAACACAGAATCCACTCAAAAGCAATGACCGGCTCGGGAAGTCATAGAAAACTTTAAATAGTCGCAGATTGGAGTTATAATTACCCAAGCACGTCTCTGAGTAGAGTGCTGTTCTGGAGGCAGAATCAATAAAGCAAGCCAAAAAACCACATCACACAACCAGAAACCTGATTTAAAATTTTGCTGCACTGCTACAACAGTGTGGTCTTGGGAAAAGACTTAGAGGTAGGAGACTTATTAACAGTGCTTATTCTGTCAAATACGTGTTTTTGTTGGGTTTTTTTGCACTTTGCAGTTTCTCTGATATAATATTGATTACTGACTGACATCCAATGATCTCTGGTAAATGAAATAGCATTTGCACTTTGAGTAAGTGACTGAGTTCCAGTTTAGTTACTTTCTCTGATTCATACAGGTCCTGTATGCACACAGCTATTGTTTTTTGGCTTAATAGACAATTCCAAACACAAGTACACACACTTCATTATAACTCGCAGGATTCACAGACAAAACACACGTCTTTTGCAGGACACATTTTCCCCACAAATACATCATGCTAATGTTATCAGCACAAGCCTATGGCATTTTATGTTGCATAAAATAGCCCAGCAGCAAGCAGAGTTTTCCTCTACACATCACACACAGGACCTAAAATGCAGGCTTGCAGTCAGTTGCCTCCCAATTACTGGCTATAGTTAAGTTGTAGTTAACTTCTTAGATTTAGTATTATCCACAGGTCTGGTAATTAGCATACTTCAAAATAGTGCTTTACTGGCTTTAATGATACAGTTTCACACTTACATCAGTCTGATTAGCTGTATCTGTGTGCTTAGCTTGTCGATGGGAGCTCAAACGAAGTACTTTGGTGATAAAATTCCATTTCACACTGACAGCATATTACTTTTGACTTGTCAACTGAGTCTTATGGGACTTTCTCTAAGTGAAAGGAGGCATTCAGAAGCTTAGTGGTGTCATTATATTCCATCAGTGTGGCAGCAGGAAGCCACGACTTAACTACAAGTAAGGGTGCATCAAAGACACAAAATAGCAGCATGCAATTAACAGAATTAAAAAAAATAAAAAAGCTTTATGTTCGGACCATAATTGCATCACGATGAATGCATTAACGCTGACAGCCCAGTTAATATAAGTGTAAATGCAGCAAAACACATTGCCATGACATTGTGATTGGACATCAGTCCGGTGTCAATTTAATCGTGTCACCACGTTCTTAAGAAAAAACAAACAAATTAAAGCTGCAAGCAGCGTTTGGTGGGACCTCGCACTCGCGCCCGTTTCGGCCCCCAGCTTATGTCGTCACTGTGAATTATTTAGAAATATCAAACATGTTGCCACAAACATCAGAAAATCCTTACAGAGCTGAACGTTTTGATGTTTGAATGCTTTCTGTAGCTGTAGGTATGGATAAGTGATGTCACGATATGCAAATTAGATGAGTGAATTTATTCCCATCAGATTCCTCGTCCTTTATTTTGAGGAAGAGACAACAAAAACAACACAAAACAAAATAAATTTACTATGTAAATATGTTCAAAATGTTGTTTTACTGAGATGTATGAAATCCAATATGGCTGCTGCCTAGTGACGTCACAATATGCAAATTAGATAAGTTAATTTACTCCCATGACAAACTTTGGGTCATGATGAATAGTTTTCTCATTTACAGTATGCCTTTATCTCTCACCACTTTCAAGCCACAGCCTTTTGAAATGTTGAAATGAAAATGGAATATTTTCCTCAATAAACTCTGGCACCTAAAGGGTTAAAATGGAGATTGTGCCCCTGTCATGTCTGCATGTAAGATTTAGACACACACACACATCATGTTTCTGTGAGTTTGTGTGTGACAGCGGTTGCCATGGTGATGAAGTAAGTGCACCTGGCAGAAGAGCAGAGAGAGAGAGTGACAGAACACAGAGAGACCTGTTTTAGTGGAGATTTAACTCCTCGAAGAAGTTCTTCCCATTCCCAAACCGCTGGTCCAATCATCAAAATAATGTGATCATGAGAGAGATAAAGTTATACAGAAGATCTGTTTAGCAGCAGTTGAACTGGTATGTGTGCGTCTTTAAAGCCGACACAATAAACGGTGTAGGAGGAGATGTGTTTTTTTTTAAGAGCACGTTTGAGGGGAAATCTTACTTTGAAAGGGCAAATAGCTCACTTCCTGTTGGATTTAGGTCATGGGTGTTAGCGTGTTATTTGTAGGTCGAACACTCCAGTTTTGGTTTGATCTTGATACGACATTCCTACGGGCTGCAGTGGCCAGTTTAGTGCACCTATGTGGCGCTAGAGAGCCCATTTTGGCACTGTAGGGGTTAATAATGTGTGTGTTCTGTTTCAAATGAAGTTTCTGCTGCTGTAATCTGTCCTTTAAAGATTGTGAGACACACAGACCAGAGAACCCTGTGGCTGTGTCTGTGTGTGCAGCCGTTGTCATGGCGATTAATGACTT